GGAAGATTGTGAATATGTATCAGAATGTTAATGATTAGCTGCTGCTAAATTTGGTCAAAGAAGTCACCTACACAGAGCGTGTTGTTAGAGCTGTTCTGAGCGGGTGTTTGGGTTGTTGGCTGCTTTCTTCCCCCTTTCTCACACACTTGTATATTATTTTGAGGTGGTGTTCGCATAGTTTGAAAGGAGAGAGAATTAAAAAAAAAGCCGCAAGCGTTTCACTCTTTTATTTTTATAATCCCCTTCAATTTGGGGTTAAAAAAAAGACAAGAAAACAGGAAGGAAGAAAAATAAGGAAATGAGATGTGGTAAAAGAAGCTAAAAGGTGCCTTTTAAAAGATCGTTGCTGTGAAGTGAAAAATCTCCAGAGAAACCAAAAAGCACCGCCGAGACCTCTTCCGAACCAAAGGAGTTTGTGTTTGCTTTTAGGGAAGAAGAAAGATCATTCATTCGGAGGAATAACAACCAATTAAAAGACAAATAAAAAAAAGTTTGGAGTGGGACGCAGAGCGAGCGAGCAGCGCTGCCGGCGGGCGGTGGGGCGCGGAGCTCGCACTTCACCGGCCGGGTGAGCGGCGGCCGCGGCGCCGGGCTCGGCGGGTGCGCCTCGGCGAAGCGAACGTCGGAGCACTGCCTTGGGAGACCCGCGCCGGACAATGCCCGCGGCGGGCCAGTGACGCCCGCGGGGAATGCGGAGCGGCCCGGCAGCCGGCACCCAGCCGCCGCCGCGCGTTCTTGCCGCCCGTGTCACGCGAGAACCGGCGGGGGCCAGGACCGCCCGAGCCGCCCCTCAGACCCGGCCGGCCGCCTCCGCCGCCGCGGCCGCCTCCTCCTCGGGGCCATTAAAGCCAATGAGCCGCGCGCCTCTGCCGAGCGCAGCCAACTAAATCGGCTTGGATGATTCGCGACCTGAGCAAGATGTACCCGCAGACCAGACACCCGGTGAGTGCAGGCGGCGGGGGCGCGGGCTCGCCGGGCGCTGGGGGATTCCCCGCGTAGACCCCTGCGCACCGAGTTGTGTCTTTTGGCCGCAGGGGCGTAGAGAGCCGCCCGAAATCGGCGCCCGGCCTGGGAGCCGCCAGCCCGCCCGCCATCACCCCCACCCCCCGGCGCGGTGGCCCTCGGAGGGGGTGCGGAGAGGCAATTGAGTTGTAGCCATTTTCTTATTGTTGTCTTTGAAGCTCCTGGAAGCCGCGCCGAGCCGTTTGCGGTCCCCGCGCCGCGACTCCTCGAAGGGGGGGTGGCGAGCGATGAAGGAGGCGCGACTCCGCGCCCGGGCGGGGAGGGCGCCCTCAGCGGCGGCGCTGCTGGGCTGGCAGCGGCTCGGAAGTGCGGGGCGCCGGCCCCTCGCGTCGCGGGCCCCCGGGGCGAGGAGCACACAAACGAACCAGCTGGGAGGGTGGCAGTCGCGCTCCCCTCCCCGGCCTGACTGCAGCCCGACGCCATGGCGCGGGTCCCCCCGACGGGCCAGTTTCGATTCCGGGTGAGGAGGGAGTGGGCGCGGCGCGCTGGTCACTGGGCGCCCCTCTTTGGCCGGGGATGGGAGCTGGGGCTCGAATCCTCGGGGTCCGGGGCGCGCGGGGCTGCAGGCGGGAGCACGCGGGGGCCCGGGGCCACCTGGAAACCAGCCCCTGCTTGGGCTGTTGGGAGCGAGGAGGGGCGCGGGAGGAGAGTTTTAATCGCTCTTTGCCTGCGTGAGCGATGACCCCTCCGTTACCCCCACGCTAACGCCGCGTGGTGTGTTTTCTCCTTCTCCCTGCTTCGCTTGTGATGTGGGCTAATTAAATATTTTATTGTTGTTCTTTAGGCACCGCATCAGCCTGCTCAACCCTTTAAATTTACAATTTCCGAATCCTGTGATCGGATTAAGGAAGAGTTTCAGTTTTTACAGGCTCAATACCACAGGTAACGATATTGACTTTAGCTGATCCTCCTGTTTGCTTAGCTCTTGTCTCCCCCACAAATATACACAAACACCCTCCTCTTTTTTGGGGGGGCGTCACAAAGGTATTATTTTTTTTTTCCCTGTGGGCAGAAAGGGCAAATCAAGGCCTCTTTTCCGTAGGCAGGTATAAATAAATTAAGCATTTCTTTCTTCTCCCGTAAATAAAAAGAAGGCAGAACAATCGAAACTGGGGAGACTTGGAAAACGCTGAGGCCAAACTTTCGGTATTGATTTATTGGGGCCAGGAGAATGAAAGGTTGGGAGGATTCTGGGGCCTTTTGACATCCTTGGTTCTTTATTACTCCGGGCTTGGTTCCTTCTCACTTCTTTCTGCCATTCTATGAGAGCTGAGAGACCAGGGAAGCCGCCGGAGTGAGCGATTTCATTACTTTTATGCTGAAAAAATGCTACCTCTTATAGATGATTTTTAGACTTCGGTACCTTTGAAACATTTTTCTTTGGCTGGCTTTTCAATGATGCCTAATTCTTATTTCATAAATGCAAGAACCAAAACAAGCCGCTGAACCCGATTGACACTTTGCCCCTGGGTGGTGGTATTCAACTTGTCTGTGTGTTTTGGAGGGAAAAAAACAAGACATCAATTCTTAAGACATGCTTGATTCATATTTTCATTAATCTCTTTGTAGAACATTAAACTCCCTTGTGACATTTTGGAGGACTTATTTGTGCTTGTATGTGCAGTTCTTATTGAGGTTTATTTTCCTGTTTTATTAGGTGAATATTAAATTCTGGATGAAGTTTCTGAATTAAACGAACTAGAGGATTTGTTTCCTTTTAATTAAAAAAAAAAAAAAAACAACCCACACATATATGATCCTTATTGAAGGGACAAGTCCAGGCTGGTTCCAGTCACCCCTTTCCCCTTCCCTTTCTATGATGATGGAGGTATTTATTTAAGATTGTTGATTTAATTGTTTGTAGGTGAGATTTAGAATGTGTGTTTAGAGTTGAAGGATGTAAGTTAAGATCACTGTACTTAGAGTATGTTATGTCTTGAACAGTCTGAAGCTGGAATGTGAAAAACTCGCCAGTGAGAAGACAGAGATGCAGCGGCATTATGTCATGGTAAGAAAACCATGTCACAGATTCCGAGTGCTTATTAGTTTGGAATACCAACAAGAAGAATACGTTTAAATTGCTGGAGGCTTCAAAATAGATCACAGTCACCCTGCCAGTGCAGTTGAGGTTGTGGGAATGTGTCTATTAGCAACCTGTAATTTTAGGATGTTATAACCTGCCTTTGACAACTAGCTTTGATTGGAATTTTCAGAAAGTTCAGCCACATGGCATATAATTTTCTGTGCTTTGTTTTTACAGATCGAAAAAAAATAAAAACAAAACCTCATTTGTTTTGTTTAGTCACAAGCAAAAATATTTTTGTTAGTGGTTTTCTTTGTTTTATTGCTCCTGCTCCAAACATTTTTAAGCAGTTTTCTGTATGTTGTTAAAATTTTAATGTCTTATTTCTTTTCAAAGGAGTGATGGATAAGAAAAGACAGCAGACCATTTTTCAAATTTTTTTCTCGCTTTTTATGTTACTATTACATTTATATTTGTGTGTTTTCAATTTCTATAGTGTTATATTGGTTTGAAAAATGTTGTAGTCTCCTGTATAACTGATTTGTTCTGCCAGAATTTCTATAATGCCAGTTATACTACATGTTCAAAAAACCAAATTTGCTTTTACAGAAGTATTATGAAGCTTATTTTTGTGATTGTACAAGAAAGCTCCAGAATAACCCACTCATTTATTTTTCTATCTAGCTTTTTTTGCTTTGAATATGTGAATATGAGGAGTACACTAACAAATCAGAAATCAAACTCTTAAGTAGCATCACCTTTTCCAACCTTCCTTTCAAAACATCAGCGTTTGTATAAGACATTCTTTGCTGTTAACTTGCCTGCTGTGCCTAGGAATTAAGAGTCTGTGGGATTCCAAATTTTCATCAGACTTTTTTTGATGCATCCGCTTGGGATGTATAAAGATAACTGGAGATGTTAAGAATGCTGTGTTTGAATTTAATTTTTATTAGTTTTTGTGAATATTCTCTTAGAATCTGTATCTTTTGGCTAAGGACAGTGATGGGCCCTTGATTTATTGGCATAGGTTATATGAATATACTGGTTTAGGTGAGGCTTTTATGTTTGTTTCAGATTTACTTGGGGCATTTTGAACAAACTAGGGAGATTGTTTGATGAAAGTCAAACATTTAATTGCTTTTCCTTCTTTGACAGTATTATGAAATGTCCTATGGGTTGAATATAGAAATGCACAAACAGGTAAGCTATTTATTTATAACCATTTTAAATGACAGTAATATTGTTACACTTTGAAAAGAAAGTTGTATGTTTTACAGTTTTATTCTGTAAGCTGTTGTGGCTACCTGTATTTAAAAGACTGGGTAGTGATGAAAATGCTGTTTTTACATGTGTGGTTCCCTATCTTTCTTTCATGTTATCCTAATTTTTAGAATTTAAAAATGTTGTTTTAAAAAGTCTGAATACGTATTAAACTGCAGGATGCTAAATTTTAAAATGTCTTGTTTTTCTTCTGAAATAATTGCTTTATTTTGGGCATTGTAAACTTGTGAAAGAGCTTTAATATTTCTTGCAAAATATTAAAAAGTAAAATTAAATGGTGTGGTGCCTTCGTTGGCTTGATGTTGGAAGAATGGATAGAGGGTGAGCCGGGAGGATGAAAATGAAATCTGTGGAGCTACAAAAGAAATTGATGTAAAATCCTTGTACTGGTCCCCTGAGGCTACTTAGTTGGGTCTTACCAAGAACTGTAACTGTTACTTCCAAAATTTGTACAGAGTAAATGAGCCTGATAGGAGGATGTGATAAGATTCAACATTGGGTCTTGAAATCTAGCAATTAGTTCAGTAGGAAAAAAAAAAAAAAAAGATTAGTCAGAAAGCACTGAGAGATATGACTCAAACAGCCTTCTTTTTGTGCAGGAGACTGAGTAAAATGGTTTGGCTTAAATTTCCTAGACAGAAGAATAATAGCACATGTATATATATATATATATAAACACATACACACACATATAAAATATTGTTTGGCAATGATAATTCCTCCAGGAAGCATTTATTTTTAGTGATCTCCTAGTGGAAGTGCTTCAGGTCTCATCAGCCATTTCAGAATAGGTGTATATATATTTGCCTGCTGGGAAAAAGACAAGGGAAAACTTACTCTTTTCATTTCTTGTTTATGGTCAAGGTAGATGTCATTGCTTTCTAAGTTGAGAAAATATGAAATGAGCAGATACTATTAGGCCTTCACTATTTATGGATTTCTTTTTGGATATAGATTAAAGATGCCTGTTAGACAATAAAGGCAATCCGATGAATGGTATTTGAACACAAAAAGTTGGAAAAAAATGAGATGTTGCTTACACTGAGGACTTTTAATTTCACATACTGTTTTACTTTGTATGCTATTTGGTTATGTCAATATTAGCATTATAGTATAGATTGAATGCTGCCTGTTGAAATTAAATTCTTATTTTGGCATCTTTGCCATTTCTGTTTAGATTAGTAATATAAATATCTTCTGCCTAAACAAAATCTGTTCAGTCTTAAGGATGGACTTTCCTTAGCTCCACCTTACAGGAATAAATTACATGAGCGATGCAGTTTGTTAATTATTACATTTCCTTTGAGGTTTGAATCTTGTATATGTCTCTTTTTTTGTCCTCACCCCACCCCCCCAAAATTAATTATTGTCTTTTTAAAGATTGGACCACATGATTACTTTAGTCCCTTTATTTCTCCTCCTTCTGTATCTTGTTTACCCTAACCAGTTGGTTTCCAGGTCTCCTCGTACCATCTACATTTCTGAAAAGCACATAGCTTGTATTTGGGTGTATGTATTTCTTTTTTGAGGGGTATGTGAGATCCCTTAATTTTACACATTATATGCCACTATAATTCTGTCATCTTCTTGTCCAGCTGGCCTCAAATGCCGTCCATTTAAAATTGAGAACAGTACATTTTCTTTTTTCTTTTGCTTTTAAATTCAGTCATATCAAGAATCCTGAGGGCAGTTTATCACATTATGAAATACAGACAGCCCTGCAAACCACCTACTTATTATATTTTCTTTCTTTCTCCCCCTTAAGCATAGAGGCATATCTGTCTTTATTTGTTTTCCTAGGCAGACAGCCTTAGTTCCTCTTAGCCTCTCTTCCAGATGCACTCACTGGATACCCTTGTAATGGAAAGCAGTAATAATGCAGGGAAGTTGCCCTGCGGCGTAATTGGGCCTAGTTCTCAAGATTGGGTTAGGTTTATTCACTTATTAGATTTGTGTCTCGAAGGGTTCAAGAGTAGGAGTCCCGGGAGTCCTTGGAAGTACCCTAGTAATTGGTGGCCCTGATATTTGAAACCTTTGTGTATTTTTTGGTTAACGTTCCTGTTCTTCTTGGCTGCTGCTAGCCACAGAATATTTATTTTTAGAGACATTTTTCATTGGAACAGAAAATGATGGTTGTGATGGAGTCATGACTCTGTGACTTAGCAAACTGATAAAAGGATAAAAGTATGAAGCAAAGACAAACAGGGTGGAGGTCAGTATTCTCCCTCCTCCCGTTTCTGTGTGATGCTCATCATCAGTCACCCTGTGTTGATTCTGATAGAGAACTATAAAATGAAACCTATGGGGAATTTGTCATTCCGAAATGAAAGCTAATGTAATTAGTACCAATTAAAGTACATTTAGTAAATTGGATTTAATCTTAATTAAGCCTGCATAATGTTGCCAATTTTTAACAATTATGTTTGAGAACATAATTAATTTAAATTTTGGTAACTGAGTAAATAGCATTAGTCTGGTAGAATTAGTGGACTTTTTTTTAAAAGGGGAACTTGGTGACATGACATGGAATTGAAGCATGAAATATGAATCTAAATTTCTGGTAATTTTTAGGATTGATAGAGGAGCAGATGAAGATGGAAAAAAAACAAAAGTTAGGATGGATTATTCTAGGCTATAATGGGATTTGATGCTTTTCCACTGTCTCAAGTTCTAGCATAAAAGTGAAGATGACAAATAGGACATGGTTAGAAATGGCACATGTTTTAGTGTGATGTCTTCAAAATGGAATTTTTAAAAATGAAAGAACATAGGCCTTTATTCCCTAAGGATTTCCCTAAGTGTGTGGTTTTTTGTTTTTTGTTTTGTACCAGATAGCTGACCCAGGGTTTAGTTGTTAATTTTTTTTGCTGATTGTTCTTCTTTGTAAATACAGTGTGGCTTCTAAATGGGTCACAGTGGGGCGATGCATGGAGTTGATAGCATTACTAAAAGCTCCTTGTTCCCATCTTTCACTTGTAATGCTGTAAAGAAGTCCTCACTGATGGACTCTGACAGCAGTGGTTCCCATTCTAAACCGCGAATATTGGATATAGATTAGGAACAATAGGTATGCGAATTCAACCTATAGGAACTATAAATGGAGATGAACATACCACCTTTTGAAAAAGGGAGAATGAGAACTTTTATGACTTCCTTATAGTTAATATTCTATAATGTCAAAGCATCTTTATTTGAATTTTAGAAATCGTTAGAAAATTTTAGAAATCTGAAACACATGGAATCTAAAAGTACTACACATTTATGTATGTTTTATGTGTATTTGTGTGTGTGTGTGTGTGTGTGTGTGTGTGTGTGTGTGTGTGTGTGTATTTAATCAAAGCAAGAAAACTCCTGTTTCACTCAAAGCCATGTAAATTTTATTATGAGACTTGGGCCACAGCCATTTGAGTGCTGCTAAAATATTAATTGAATAGAAATGAAAGGGCCTTGCCAACTGATAGGATATCATAATCATAGCCTCTTTGGTCGATGGTAAATGATGATAAATGACATTAGGAACCTTTTAGCAAACTGTAATAACTACAAGGAGGGAAGCAGTATGGATTTGCATTATATCTGATACCCTCTAGTACCAAGTGGATTGCCAATACTGCTTGTTTAGCATTTTCTAAGGGCAATAAGATATTGATTTCTGACTTACAAGGAACAGCTCTATTTTCACCATTGAAAAGTATTGCAGGTTGTTAAGAAGAAATTGACTTGAAGAGGCCGACTGCTGCCCATCATGGAGCAAATAAAGCAAAACTGCCGAAGCATGGTGGAGCAGCGAGACGGGCCCTCAGCAATTTGTTGCTATTAATTTACCATGCTCGACAGCAAATCAATCGGCATCTACTTCATCTGCTGGAGAAAATGCTGTCCAGGGCAGATAAAAGGCTCGGCATGGTACAGAGAATAGACTGGATTGGCCAAAAGCTGGCTGCAGTTAATGTGTAAATAAGTGAAATCAAGCCCACTGTTGCAGAGGAAGCTGTTGTTAATTAGGTTGGTGTTTTTTAGTGAACTATTTGAGAAAGCAGCTAGAATTTGGAGAGTTAGAAGAGATTTATTGGGATTGAAGTAATATATGACTGGCGTGACAGTCTAGCCTTGAGTGTACTTGATTCTAGAGTACGATAAATTTATTTGGGGACACTGCTTGCTGTGGAGTTTGTTGAAAGTTCGGTTTAGACCAGATTTCCCTTATGATAACTTTTTTTTTGAACCTTGCCAATTTCTTGCACATCCGTCTTATTGTGTACGCTTAGATTTAGAAGAGTAGATGGGAGGAGTAGGTGTTTTAGTATGTAGGCACAAATATGTCTGTTGTATTCTTACCCAGTGCCTTTTTTTTTTTTTTCAGAGATGAGTATAATTGAACTCTTGTGTATTTTAATAAGAGTGGACTATCATCGAAGATGCTAGTTGAAAGTAATAACCAAGGAAAATTTTGCTGACAGCACTTCCTTTTGCTTTATAAACATTAGGAAATAACAATCTAGAGGGCACTGGGTAGTGGGTGGATACTACTGGACTCTAAAATCTCAAAGATGGCAAGTGAAATTTTGATGCCTGCAGAAACTTCCAGATACAATTATAGGATCATGTATGTTGGGGGACTGCAGAGGAGCTGGGGCAGTTCTTGTGTTTTGGTTTTCATTAAGGTTTAAAGCCACCTTTTCTAATTTAAGATTATTTGCACTGTGATGATATTCCACAATTAATGTTAACGGAGTGAAGGGCATTGCTGGTGTTTTATCTTCTTGACTCTCATTTGGGCATTTTAAGATAGGAGGCCAACTGCATTTACTCCTGTTTAGTAAATCTAAATGAGTGTAGGCTTTAAATTCAATTTTTTTCCCAAAACACTTCAGAGGGTCTAGCATTAGGGCAGTTGATAAGTAAACGGAAGCCCCTTG